TCATCCCTACATTTGTAAATGGCAGGTATCACAGTAGGGCTACTTTGGCTTTTTCTTTACTCCTACTTCTTCAGGACAAAGCATTGATCTTTCCTGGTAGAACTGTGGGAGTGGATTAGTTTGTCTATGTTAGGAAGTAAAGTGGATCATTAGCAAAAATACGAGCATACAAGACACATTATTTACGTGGTTCGGTCAAGGTGACCTACGTCCACGGGGCAGGAAGGGAGTATTCTTTATTTCAAATCTCTCAAACAGAGGTTACAAGTACAATTACACAAAGATTCTACTATCACTCTAGAATTCAAGATACGAAATGACCTAGCATGCATCCCTATTTATACTTGAGGGATCAGATCTAAAACCCTAATGGGCCAAGCCCATTGGCCCATAGGACCATGAATGGTGACAACCAATCATATTCCGCAATGCAGCATCTGTTGGAACATTCTTCCATGTCACACAACCCATGAGCATCAACAACACACATGATGGAGCACCTTGTGCCATAGTGAAGCATCATGATGTACAAGTGGCACATCATGAACACTAAAGGCCCAACATCCATCATGGTGACACAACATGGTGTATTTCTTAAGCAATACCAACTTCTGGGCATCCTTAAACGATCTTGAGCATCATAGAGGACTTCATATCATACTTGGCTCATCAAGGACCAAGATGGTCCATCTTGCGCCATGATGGAGCAACAAGTGTATGGATGACGCAACATGCTTCAAGTGTGGAGCAAGAACTTCTAGGTTGGAGCAACATCACCATCTTGGCGTAACAGAATACTCCATGGCACAACAGGGATACCTAATGGCGCAAGATGGATACCCCATGGCGCAAGAGGGGTATACTTGGCGCAAGAAGGAATGTCTTGGCGCAACAACATCCTTCTTGGCTGAACCCCTTATCAGATGGCGCAACAAGGTTCCCTTGTTGCTCCATATCACTCCCAAGTGCTCCAAACCTCTTCTAGGTGCTCCAAACCCCCTTTTATATGATCCGTTCCTTTGGCACTTGATCTGTTCCTTTGTTAGACGATCCATACCCTTCTCAGATGATTCGTTCCTATGTCACATGCTTCATGAACCCCAAGTGCTCCATTGAGTTCCAAGTGCTCCAAATGCTCCATGAACATGATCCAAAATGCTCCATGAGAATGCTCCAAATGCTTGAGTCACATTTAATAGTCTCAAAAGAGTACCCACACCACTATATGCTTCAGTAAGGCCAAAAACCATTTTAAGTACTAATCGATCATTATAGACAGGGGCACCCATATTTTTCAATTGATCTGCCAGAAGTTTTATTCGTTGGCAGTAGGCAAAAGCATTTGGAAAATTTTCCATGACTGTGAGAGAGAACTCCTGTTCTAGTGTGACAACACGTGAGTGCTTGTTGTCTTGAAATATGTTACGCAAACGATTCCATGCCTCCATGGTAGTGGAATCTGGTTCAAGAATTGTATGCAACAAATCATGAGAGATTGTAGCATATATCCATTGAAGGACAGTTGCATCTAGGGTTAGCCACAATTTATGTTCTTCTTCTGTAGATGGCACCTTCTATTTTCCTGTTGGGATGATATGGTGCTAAACTTTATGGGAACGAGCGTGTATTTTGAAGAGCTCTGCCCACATAGAATATTGGACATTCTCCATTTCGAGAGTGATGGAGATATGGTTCTTAATATTAGAAACCATGAGTGCAGGATGAAGCTTTGAAGTCATCTTAGAAGGTACGGTAGGAGGGGAAGAATGAGGCGAAGATGAAGAAGAAGATTTGGGGGACTCACTTGTCGCCTTTAAAGAGCTAGGCTCTGATACCATGAAAGCGGAATACCTTCCTTGCCTTTCTCATTAGAAATCATCGGTACATATACAACACAAGGATGCCATCCATAATGGAAGTTCCTCAAATCAAGGGAAACCTAAAAATACATAATTATCTCTAAATATACAAAGATTATATACAATAAATACACATATCTTCCATATTTAACAATTACATGTATCCCTAGTAACTATTTGCATAAATGTAGAAACTTAGTGAAGTCCATGCCTACAAAATAGTGTTTTTTAGGGTTATTAAAACCCCCTTCTGATACACTAGTGGTGGAACAAAAACACATTGATAGCTGACATCAACCTTTAATAACACCTATCTTCATTATGTTAAAATAGTTTAAAGTTAAATAGTTATAAAATATATGTATTATGGTTTATCAAATGCTTCGATTCCATAAAACTAAGCAAGTGCTTGGAAGCTTTGATTTTATAATAAGAATGCAACAACTATGTTGATTCTTACTTTAAGCATTGAACAATCCTACATATAAGGGTTTTGTATGTTAATCGATGTTTTGTATTCTATAATTGTTCATATATTGTTACGACGTCTAACTGATAAAAAATCGAAGTAATAAAGCTATAAAGGCACCATATAGAAGCTAAGTTGGCTTAAAACCTACAAAACCGGTAATGTCGCCAATATTGTCTTGCAAAAATATTGTTGTTATATGACATATTGGACACAATTAGAAATTAGGTGACTCAATGACAAAAAATCATAAATTTGTTACCCATTATGTCATTTCCCCTTTCTTTTAAAATCAAATGATGCATCGAACCATATGACAAACATAAAACTTTTATTTGGATATGGATCTTATTAAACTCATATGAAGATGCGCCATTAAATTACATAGATGGATTTAAGAACCCATGAAGCCTAGTTTCGACCAAAACAATCTTGAAACTCAGCCAAATACTTGTTGTATACAAAGTACCTATGTTACCTGTAGACTGAAATTTATCTTTTAACATTAATGTTTACAATAACAAATATAACACAATACGACAATGACATTCCATGTTCAGCTATGTTGAGATAGGTGCAAGTGGAGCAATAGACACACAATGGTAGGCTTTAGCTCCCGAGATTGTGACCATTTGGTCTCTTTGAATATATTAAAACTTCATACTTTGGTCAAAATCAACAAGTAATCGTAGTCTATAGTCTATACATCTTGTGAATTTCAAGACTTTATACAAATATTAAGGCTTAATAACTTGAAAAGGTAATAAAGTATGAACCGTGTAGAAGATTGATAACTTTTTTTTTGTTTAAGTTAGGTCACTCTAACCGGCTATTTCCTATTAAATTGGTTATTTGTAGTTCCAATGAGTCTTCGATTGTCTTTTGTGTCGAACATGTCACATCCTACGATATCTACGATGATCCTCACCAACCACTTTGTGCTTTTAATTTACAACCTCCCCCATTCCTGAGTTATATTTAAAAGGTTTTGTAATATGTTGTAAATCATCCTTTACTTTTAAATTTGGTGAAACAACAATGGTAAGTTGCAAGCAGAAAAATAGGAATTGTCATCACTCTCATCTCAAGTTTTATGGTGAAACAGAGTTGGGAATCACCACTTATAACTTGATTTGCTCAAACCACCTAAATTTTTCTTGCATGATTGCTGTGAAAATTTGGATATGTACGTCCGAGTAATTTGCTACACAACATTGTTGTGGGTGGGTACTAAAAGGTTTAACTACACCCTCCAGACGACCCATGCTAAACCCACCCAAAGACCTATTACGTAAGGTAAATTGCAAAAAGTACTAGCACTATTTTGGGTGTACAAGGTTTGATTTTTGAACTTTATTCAGGGTCGTTCCAAATATATTTTGGGCCTAGGACGAAAGAGGAAAAAAGGCCCTTAAAATACACAAATTTCATCAACTGTTTTTGTATTAACTTAATAATTGAAAAAAAAAATTACTTATACTAGCTTCTGAATATAACATTTTCGCTTATAAAAACCTATATATCTAAAGAAAAATACTTCTTTTAGCTTTTTGAGATGCAAAATCACTAATAATATCTTCAAAATCGATCATGTCTAACATTATATTAATAAAGTATGTAAAAAAATTTGGGCCCCTTTAAAAGATGGGCCCTGGACGGTCGCCCCTATTGCCCACCATCTGGGACTGGCCTGACTTTATTTATGGAATTACACACCTCAATCGCTATGCTTCCATCTCAGAGGCATGGATGGATAGGTACTAGAGGTCTCCAATAACCGAAGATGCCAAACAACAACTTTATGTGTTCATTATCCTCTCCCAATCAAGTTTGGTATATGGATTTTATTTTTTGTGAAGATCAATAGACTCCTCAATTATTCTCCACTCTTAGTCCTTTAATTTTCTTGGAGGTTTTACCCTATTTTTGCCCCTTATCATACCAAAATACAACTTCCATTCAACCAAACAAGTAAACAACAAGATGATTAATATGTTGTTTGTCTTCTTCAAGAACACAAGTTCTTGAAACTAACATTCATGCCAAAATTTACAGCCCCATAATCTTGATCAATTTTTATGCATACCATAGAGTAGTGGGGACAATCATTCAAAGATTGGAGATGGGGTTTTGATAAGGTTAGTAGAATTAACAAAAGAATAAGCAAAAACTTAATTACAACTCTGGCATTGGCGCTTATGCTTCGTCAAAGAAGATGACTAAAGATTTGTCAAAGATGTCAATAACCACTTTAACTAGCAACAACCAATTAGTGTGATATTATTTGAACATATTTTTTTAATTTAAACACATATATCATACAAAAATAAAATGAAGGTGACAAATCATGTATAATAGGCATATGTTCTTACCCTTAGCCACATAATGAAAAATGGTTGAGGTAGACAATTCCATAAATAGGATTTAAGCTTCAAATTTTATGTCTAAAATATTGACAGTGCTCTTTGATTTACTCCCATGTTATATGTCTTGAAAGAAGTTCAACGTGCTTCCATCTATAGGGTACGTTTTGCCATTTTTTTTTTACTTTATTATTATTACAAGTATTTAACCCAATATTAATGAAATAGTAAAATAATCACATATATATGATTCGGTATCCCTTTAAAGGTTTTGTTATAAAATCAAATATTACACCGACAACCCTTTGAGTATGAGTTATGACACTTCAACCTAATATTTTTTCTTTAGTACAATTAGTATAAAACTCGGCCTCTCCGCCGTTACTGTGATCTAGCGAGATAATGAATCAACAGGTACAGAAGAACACACTCTACGTTGGTAAGAAACCCTTCCCCCAATTTAAATTTCAAACTCAAATTGACATACAATGTATGGATATGGATTATAGATTATGTTGCACGAGTGATATATTTGATTGAACTTTTTCTTGTTGTTGGTTAATTAGGTGGATTGCCAGAGGAGGTGAATGAAACGATTTTGCATTCAGCGTTCATACCGTTCGGAGACATTAAAGATGTGAAGACACCGTTGGATCAGGCGACGCAGAAACACCGATCGTTTGGGTTTGTCACTTTTCTGGAGAGAGAGGATGCGGCTGCTGCGATGGATAACATGGATGGTGCTGAGCTTTACGGCCGTGTACTCACCGTCAATTACGCCCTACCGGAGAAAATTAAGGGTGGTGAACAGGGCTGGGCTGCTCAACCTAGTATGTATTCGTTTCTCCTTCTTAAAACCTTGGTCTTAAACCCTAGATTTCGTTTTCTTTTTGATATGAAGATTGATACTTTACGATGGCTGTAGCAGATTAGGTTTAAAGCCAATACCTTCGTAAAGATTACTAAATGGTTGATTAGTTGATGCAGAAACTTGAATCATTAAGTTTTTAGCAAGTATTCTTCCTAATTTGCTGAATACCAAATGGCATCCATTGTTGTTCGTGCTTCCAAAACATAGATTTTATGCTTCTTCATATGCTCTAGCTTGATTGTATTTAACGATTAGTGTTTTAAAATTTCAGTTTGGGCGGATGCGGATACATGGTTTGAAAGACAGCAGCAGGAAGAAGAAATGAAACGGATTCAAGCAGAAAACCAAGCATTAATGCAGGCTGCTGAAGAATTGCATAGAAAAAAACTGGTAGATGAACGTGAAGGTGAGAAAGATGAACAAGATGATCCCATGGCTATTGCTGAAGCTGAAGCATCGAAACAGAACAATACTTAGTTTATTTTGGTTGCTTCTGTTGTATCCTAGCTAAGGGTAGTTTCATGTTAATTTTGATCAAACTTTTGAGAGTATTGCTTTGTTTTACAAAAGCAGAAACTGAGCATTTTATTGAAATTGAAGGAAAAAAGATAGATATATAATTTCTCAACACAAATTTTGATAGCTTTGATCACAAAAATTTGTATCTCATTTGTGCCCTTACAAAAACAAAACATTTATCATGTCTTCATCTACATTTGGTTCAAACTCCTCTCTCAAAAACAAGATCCTGAAAAAAAAAGTGCAACAATCATTTATCTCCCAACTTGATCCAACATAGAATCACAAAGCTTCACAGCATCCACATTATCTCCAACATTATGAACCCTAACAATATTCGCCCCACCCAAAACACCACAAGTAACAGCAGCAACAGTCCCCGGATCTCTCTCAACACCAGAAACCCGCCCACAAATCTCCCCCAAAAATCTCTTTCTTGAAGGCCCAATCAACAAAGGCACACGCGACACCCCTAAACTCTTCCTCCCAATCTCCTCCCTAATCCTCTTCAATCCCATCAAAATCTCCAAATTACCCTCCGTATTCTTCGAAAACCCAATTCCGGGGTCAAGAACAATCCGCCAAGCTGGCACGCCATGTAATTCTGCAATTCTTACCCTCTCATACAACTCATCACCAACTTCTTTACAAACATCATCATACTTCACATTCTCATTATTTTGCATCGTGTGTGGGTCCCCCCTCATGTGCATAACTACATACGGGACATTAAGTTTCCCCATGACATTAAGCATGTCGGAATCCATGATTCCGCCCGATACATCATTGACTATATGAGCGCCTTTTTTGACCGCTTCCAAAGCAACTTCGGAATAAAACGTGTCTACGGATATCAACTTTCCTTCAATTTCGGGTAATTTAAGAATCCTTTCAAGAACCGGAATCAGACGATCTAGTTCTTGTGCAACTGAGATTCTTGAAGCCATTGGACGTGTGGATTGAGCTCCAAGATCGATTATATCCACCCCTTGAGATATCATGGTTTGAACATGAGAGATAGCATCCGCGATACATTCAAACTTCCCTCCATCGCTAAAACTATCGGGAGTCAAATTCAAGATTCCCATAACCGAAGTCTTCTTTGACCAATCCCATAACCGATTGGAAACGGGTAACACTCTTCTTAACCCATCTTTTCCTATTAAAGATTCACCACCTAATTCTTCCCAAGATTCAAAGATTCCTCCTTTTTTTGAAAAAGAATGCCAGTGTAAAACCGTATCATGGTCAACATCCGACCCTAATAAGTCAACTAATGGAGCCATAACAAATGGTCTCTCAAAGATTCTTTCATGGGGAACTGTGAGGCTTTCGGATTTGATTTTGTATTTTCCGTAGAATAATATATCTAAGTCGATGGGTCGTGGGCCATACCGGATCCCTTTGGTTCGGCCCATTTCTTTTTCGATTTTTTTCAAGACTGAAAGTAGTTCATGGGGCCCGAGTTTTGTGGTGGCTCTAATGGCTGAATTGAGAAAGAGAGGCTGATCGGTGACATATGCGGGCTCAGTTTCGTATAGACACGCGTGTCTTGTGATTTGTAAACCGGATTTCTTCATTTGTGTTAAGGCTTCATTGAAGTTGTTGAGCCTATTGCCTACATTGCTACCTAAAGCAATTACTACTTCTTGTTCTTCGGAATGAACTTGAATTGAAGTGTCTGGTGAGGAATGAAAGAAAGAAAACGAAGCTGCAAGAAAAAGAATCAATAATGTCACTATTCAAGAAATGATGCCCAAAATCTTTATAACTTCATATAAAGATGAATTGAGAAGTCTACCTTTGTAAGATGCAAGGGCATGAGTGTATGATGATAATCTTGATGGTAGTATCCGCTTGCAAATATTCATTTTTTAAAAGATATAAACTTTTATCAAGTTTTCAAACTAAGTGGTGAAGGGGAAATCTGCAAAGACAAACTCCAAAACGATTATAGAAAATTACTGTTTAGGGGTTTAACATAGTTTATAGTTATCAAAATTTTCATGAAAACTTGAAAAAAGATTTATGTCAATTTAGAAGTTGAACATTTGACTTCAAGACGTGATCTAAATCCCTTTCTTTTGGGAGAACGATGCGTATTATTTGCCAACATGATGATTTCCAGCATCACCCTTTTGCAATGAAGTGATTTACTAGTCTACTGGCACATATCTTTTGAACAAATCTTATGAAGTTATAAATCAGCTAGCATTAAAGATCCCTTTACTTTTTTACTAACTTCAATTTTTATATCAACAAATCACTAGAAACGGATTCGGGGTGTTACCTCTAGAAGATTATATGGCATAGAACAGCTTTGAAGGATTCACTTATGGAGCTTCATCAACAATAAACCCTAAATCTAGCATTGAGATGGGTCTCTGCAAGTCAAGATATTACAGTCAAAATTTATGAAACAGAGATTGAAAACTTAACGAATCTTCAAACGGGTAATGTAAAAAAACCAAAAAAGTAAGCACCGTTAACTCCGTTTGCTGCAACGAGAATCGAAAGTGAGGGATTCGAGAACTCATACAAACATATATACCTGTGTAACATTGTGCGAGCGGAGTGAAACCCTTTTGAATGGGGGTTATTTTGTTGATATCTTTTAAGGGCAGTGGCAATCCTGTAAATATAGTAATAGTAAAAAGGTAAAAGGTCAGCCCATTTCGAGATCTAAAATTGATAAAATCTTTAAATCCACATGTATTGTACATTGCGCAGTTAATATTGTATATTTATCTGGTTTTGGGTATTTCAGATTGGAAAAGAGGTCAAAGTAAAGCCCTCATCTTTAAACCCAGAGAAGGGGGTTGGGTTCTGTGAAATGGTGGCGTTGAGGTGGGATTCTTGAAAGCTCAAGCTTTTGGTGTGTCAAAAATGGCGTCTTTCCCTTCTTTTACCCAATTTTGTTCTTTGCCCAGGTTCTCTCTCTCTCTCTCTCTCTCTCTCTCTCTCTCTCTCTCTCTCTCTCTCAAACACATATACATATAGATATATCTATGAACCAACATAGCCACATGCTATTTACAAAAATAATTTAGTGATGTTAACTTGAATCGCTTGTAAATCGTAGAATTCAGTGCGAAATTTCTGAAAGTTGAGTTTTGATTTCAGTATTTTGTTCAAGTTGATTATTCGCCTGTAATGGGAAAAAGAAAGGATAAGGAGAGAAATGTAGTGATGACAATTTCAAAGAGAAAAAGATAGCAATTCGATTGCTTGTTTTTTAGCGCTCTCTTTTCACGAACTATAACAATCTTTACAAACAATACCATGAACAACATAATGTTTGCATAAAGATAAAGCATTTAACAAGTTCTTACAACTCTGGATTTTGTACTCTGTAGGTGGCACTCGAATTTGCCTTCGATACCCTCAATAAATCTTGTAAAATTCCCAGATGTTAGGCTGTGTAGTAGATTTGCCATTACAGCAGTTCCCAGAAGAAAACTTGCAGAAAATACATCTGATGGAGAAGAAGACGACTCAGAAAAGAAGACAACACGTAAAAGAGCTCCATCAAGAAGAAGAAAAAAAGCAGAATCAGATGTTCCAGAAGAAAACTCCATACCAGAGACTATTGTTAGTAACACAGACGAAATGACATCATTGCCCTCCGAGTCCACAGCAGTTCCCGAGAAACCTCAAAGAAGAACTCGAAAAAAAGGTCAGTCTTATATTAAGAATGAGTGAGAATTTTCTTGCACTTTATAAAAAATGACATATATTCTCCTTTTCTAGAAATTGCAATTGCTTCTACTTCAAGTAACTTAGAAGAAGAAGAACCAGAAAAAAAGGTGACAAGGCGTACACGTGTCAAGAAAAAGATGGATGATACAATAGATCAAAGTAGTGAAACCGAGTTAAGTGAGATTGAAGATGACACAGATAACGAAAAAGACATACAATTTGATGAAAATGGTGAAGAAGATATAAGCTTTACATACTCATGGCCACCTCTAATTTGTTGTTTTGGATCCACTCATCATGCATTTGTGCCTTCCGGAAGGCGAGCCAATAGACTTTTGGATCACGAATCCCACGAACGAATGAAGGACGCGTTGTGGGCCCCAGAGAAGTTTGTTAGGGCACCCGGAGGGTGTGCGAGTGATGTGGCACTGTGTCTTGCTAATATTGGGAGTAATGCGGTTTTGATGGGTAAAATTGGGGATGATGACTTTGGTCAAGCTTTGTTGTATCATTTGAATGAGAATCGTGTTCAAACTCGATCGATTCGGATTGATGCAAAAAGGACAACTTCGGTTTCACGGATGAAAATGAGCAAAAGGGGTAGTTTGAAGATGACATGTGTCAACACGTGTGCGGAGGATTCGCTAAAAAAGTCTGAAATCAATGTTGATGTGCTCAAAGAGGTAAGTAATCTTGATTTTTGTTGAAAGAATGGTTTTGATATTGAATCTAATGACACTTCAAGATCTCATATGAAAGTAAACATAACATTGTTATATAAATTGGTATAAATTTGCATTTAACCCTTTAACTTTTATAAAAAAATGTTATCCCAAAACGTAACCAAATGGACTATCGTTTTTGCTACCATGTTTATGATTCTTGACCTTATTTTGCAGGCAAAAATGTTTTACTTCAATTCATTTTCTCTTCTTGACAAAAAAATGAGAACAAGTGCATTGCAAGCTATCAAGATCTCAAAGCAACTTGGAGGACTCATCTTTTTTGATCTCAATCTTCCATTACCACTATGGCATTCTCGCGAAGAAACTCAATCAATCATTCAAGAAGCATTAGAACTTGCAGATATAATCGAAGTCACCAAACAAGAACTCGAATTCTTATGTGGGATTGTCCCATCTGAAAGATTTGACACCAAAGACAACGATAGATCAAAGTTTGTCCACTACGATCCGGATCAAATCGGGTCGATCCGACCCGACAATCTTCAACTTTTATTTGTCACAAACGGGACTTCCAAGATTCATTACTATACAAAGGAGCATAACGGGTCGGTTCTTGGAATGGAGGATCCGCCCATTACCCCTTTCACTTCTGACATGTCAGCAGCTGGAGATGGCATTGTTGCAGGTAACCCCTCTGTGTATTATCTCTATGTTTTATTTCTGTATATGTGTTGGAGCATATTATTTAAATTATAATGGGTTCAGGGCTTATGAGTAAGTTGATAGTTCAACCACACTTGATGACTGATAAAGAGTACTTAGTGCATAGTATTGACTATGCCATTAACCGTGGGGTGACACAACAATGGCTTCAAGCTAGGACACGAGGCTACCCTCCAAAACCGGGTATGGAAGATGATGAGTTTTTCTCGGATCCAAATGGGCTTAGAACCATCTCCCAAAAAGCATTCCGGACTCTGATCCCTGTAAGTTGATGATTTTGTGTTAGTTTATCAAATAATGTTCTTGATTTGATTTTGTATCCTTTCTTGTTGTGTGATGTGTAGGTTGAAGAAGAAGAAGAAGAAGAAGAAGAAGTGAGCTTAGATGTGAAGAGAGATGATGGTGATGATTTGGAAGGAGATGAAGGTGTGAATGTGGTGATAGATGGTGATTATGATTCGGAAGATATAAGTGACATTGGAATGGAGGATGAGGAGCCTGTGAGGAGAGTAGTAAATCAAGTGGTTGGTGCTAAAAGGAGAAGTTTGTAGTTTTTGTTTACAAGTTTTGATTCTTGAACTCGATCGAGACAAAATGATGTGTTTGATAGGGATTAGTGGCCATGTTTGCAATTTTGTAGTTTGGTTTATGTTTACCTGTTGTTGTATTGTATGTAGTTTCAAAGTCCGTAAGTAGTATTTCAACAATTAATTGTGTGAGTGTCACGAAACTTACTAAGGATAATCCAATTGAAATCAACTTCAAATTTAGGCAAAAACACGAAACTATATTCTTCTAACAAACAATTACAAATATATTTGCCGGAGAGTATTAACCAAAACATCCTTTTTTATGCTACTCTAGATCCAAACATATACATAAAAAAATAATTTTTGTTTTTATTTAAACAAAAACTTGATATGTATATTTTATACACATAGTTTTTTTTTCCCATTTATGTGTACAAGATTATACCTTATGTATGTGTATAATGAGTCCAATTAAATTCCTTGAAATTATTTTAACAGCCTACGTATGTTTAAAAAAAACAATCAATCTTCTTCTTACCAACTGCAGACTTTTAGTCCATTTCTTTTTTTTTTTCTGCGACTGCATGTTTTTTACCTCTTAAAAAACAAACACCGCCTCACTTTTGTAGATGTGCCCTAATTTCTAACTTCGTGTTTTTTGAATTGAATCCAACTAATGAAAGTCAAATCATAAGCGAATTGAATGGCTCTATCATTAAAGATTAGACTTCAATCATACACATGCTCTGTCATCATAATCCATATTGACAGATACCAAAACTTCAAATACATAAAGACATGTCAATAGTCATTAACCAATTCCATCAAGTTTATATATAATCCTTACGCACCAAAAACAGTTACCTCAAGAACAAATACTTATTGGTAGTCAAGGTATAGAGTTACCTGCTCAACCCTTTCATATGGAAGTTCAAGTCTCCAATCCTTTTGTTTCCTGCTCAAAGGTCTTCCTTTAGATGAAGGATCCCGATTTTCTTTCACATCAGCCAACCTCCATACACACCTCTCACATTCCCCTTCAATGGCTTCCAAAAAGAACACCCCCTCCTTTTCCTTACACCTATGATCATCATCTTCTACATACTTCACTCTCATAGCCATGTCTTTAAATCTTTCTAAATCATCCGGTATCCTCAGTAGCCTATCTGCACCTGGAGATGACACCTTCAAAGAAAAAAAAAAAAAACATAAATAAGTTTATATCTATATGTGACTATATCATATCAAAGATAGAAAATAATTCAATGGTTGGTTATATAATAATGGTTACCTCAAGAGCTAAATCACAGGGTATGTCTCCAGTTTCTCCTGCTTTGTCTAGTCTTTTCTTGTATTCATGGCTGTAACTTTGAATATCCTCTATGCTAGGGCACCCATATCTGATGCAAAAATCAAGATGAAATTAATCTTGTATGTTGAATTGTTTACAAGTATATAACTTTTTTTCAAAAATGAGATTGAAGAGAGAATCTTACTCGTTACAGAGTCTATCTAGTCTGACATAAATGTATCCACGAGGGGAGGTTTTGAAAGCGAAGATTTCTATGTCATCACCAAACTGAAGCAAGACGTCTTGAGCAATGGATAGAACTTTTTCCCCCCAAGGACAGTTTTGCAGGACAACACCGCCTCCATCTCCACCATCTCCGATCTGTAAAATTCTAAAGAAATTTAAGGCGTGTTTTTATGTAGAGTAGACTAAAAGATGAGAGAATGCACAGTACCTCAGGCTCAGCTTCCTCTTCTTCCTCCCATAAGTCGATTGGTTCTACTTCATCGTTTGTGTCAGCTGCAAGATCGTTCATATTAGGATCAATACACATGACGATTTAATCAGAACTCTAGAATGAATCATAGATAATGAACTGTATAAGCTAAAACTTCGAACAGAACTTTAATCAAACACTTGGAAGGCATGCAAACATAGATAAGGAAACCAAACTTAGGTTATTAGGATGAAAGAAATAGAGATATTGTAAGTATAGAGCATTACATTGAGGTGGTGCTTGAGGGTTTTGGCACTGGATATCTTCAGTAGAGGCATTGGTGGTGGTGGAGTACCCATGATGACTTGCAAAGGAAGGATTAAAATTTGAGGAACTTTTAGAAGGACGATAAACAGAATGATGAAACCCAAATACCACAAACGAAAAAGAAGAGTTAGATTTGTGAGGGTGAATGGACGTGATTGAAAATGATGGAATGCAATTCGATCATGGTGAGAGGCGAAGGGAGAAGACGAGAAGCGGGAGCTGAGGTCTCTATGCATCAGTGGAAGTAAATTGCGTAAACTACGAGCCAATTTAGGGTTTATCATCTCGAATCCGATTCCAAGAACTGAAGAGTGAAGAGACGAAGCTCAGGCACTCTGTTACTCTATACGATCGCAAATTGCTATTTCTGCTCCGAAAAAATGGAAAATCTTAACGTTCGAAGTAAATAAATTAAATCCTGCATCTAATATATCTGACCTATTTTATTTTTTTAATTGTTTTTATTTCATTCTTTACTCATTTTGATTTAATATAATCGACACATAAGAAAACTAAGTTTGCCATCTTTTGGTACAAAAAGCTTTCAAATTTCAATTTTGTATGTTTTAAATACAACTTTGGAAGGGTGGTTCAATATTTGGGTTCTAAGTGAACCAAAAATATGAAACCCTTTGGTCTTTACTATTAAAACGTTATAAATCATCCTTCTTTATCCAGACTTAGGACCGATAATAATAAACTAAAAAAATTTATAAATTGTGGAGTTAATTTTTTTTATTATGTATATGTTTTTTTGTGAATAACCAAGATAAAGTTTTATTAATATTGGGTTAAGTTTGGAAAATATTGGTGTAACATAGCGGTAATGAGTGACAATTTCAAATGGAAGGTCATGGGTTCAAGTCTCATTAGGAGACATAGGTGGTTTTAGGAGTAGGTTAGTTTGCCGGTTCAAAAAAAAAACATCCCAAAATTAATAACATAAAATTTTCGTTTTTAGATTAATAAATCGTTAATACATATCATTTCCATAAAACTAAGTTAATTGAGATTTATCAAAACATCATCAAATCAGAGTAAATCATAGAATGCGAAAACATGTGGTGTGTGCTCTGCAATCATCCCGAGCTCTTCCATTTGAAAACCGAAGTACCTGAAACATAAACTGAAAATCGTAAGCACAAAGCTTAGTGAGTTCCCCAAGATACCTCATACCATACATACAAAAAAACACATAGAGGGTGTTTGGGATAACTTTTTTAGCTCTAAAGTCTTTTTTATAAAAAGACTTTTTGTAAAATGTCTTTTTCCAAAAGTAATGATTTAAAATATGTTTGAATGGAAAAGTTTCTTTTGAGACACAAAAGTCCCAAAAGTCACGATTTTGTTACTTTTAGAATCAACATTTTTTCTCTTACTCAAAAGTTGTTTTAAAAAGAACTTTTCAACTTGACAAACATCTTTTGAACTTTTTTGATTTTTAGAAAAGTAAAAAGTCTAAAAGTTGTTTTTAAAGCAATCCCAAACACCCTCATAATAGGCTCCACCCTTCATCGGGCCCGCCAGGCATCGGACCCCGTCCGGCATCGAACCCCGCTCGGTAAACAGATCTGTCAATCATCAGGCCCCGCCCAGTATAAGCATATAAACATATAAACATATAAACACACAACACATGCCATAATCACAGAGATAAATAGCATACAGACTAGCCTTCGGGCCCCGCCCGACATCGGGTCGTACCCGACAATCATAAAACACATGCAAATAACTAACATATAATATACTCATCAAGCCCCGCCTGGCATCGGGCCCTGCCAGACATCGAGCCCTGCTCGGTAAACATAAAACACATAACACAGCAAGATCACCAACAACAAGCACACTAAACATAACAAATCATGGGTCGGCATTGGTGTCTTCGACCCGCTAAACACAATGGAGAGACTCACCTCGCACTGCCGAATCTCACTGAAAGAATCTGTAACAACGTAAATTTCCAAAACAATTTTTCATTTTTAAAACATACTTTTATTCATAAGGTAATATCAAAACACAATGAATCCAATGTTATCATAACAAAACATATCCCAGAATCTCAAGACATAAACTCCATGAGTGTGTACGGATCATGTCGGCGCCTTCCCGCGATCCTCGCTAGTACCTGAAACACATAACACAACAACTGTAAGCATAAATGCTTAGTGAGTTCCCCAAAATATCACATACGCATATACGCCACTCAAGGCTATAAGACCTTCCGGTCACTGTGTCTCAGAGGACTTCCGTCCCACAACCCTGGTAAGCCTTCCGGCCCTACCCGTAATGACCTTTCGGTCCATATCATCCTGACCTTCCGGTCCATAACATCCTGACCTTCCGGTCCATATCATGATGACATTTCGGTCCTTATCATTCATAACATAAGAATTCATATAACAGCATACGAACATACATCTCATAGCATATAAACACCTTCCGGTCACACATAGGTACCACTCTAGGTACAGTATAGTGAGAAGACTCACCTCGTACGAAGTCGGATAAACTCTCGTGCTTGACGTCCCGACCTAGTCTCCTCCTATCATCCGAATAACATTCCTGATCAAACCCTCTCATAGTCTCATCTCTAAAGATTGGGTAGAAGGCCATTCTACCCCTCCCTGAACTCTCCTGAATCAGCTTGACCAAAACCCTGAGGTCAACTGAAGTCAACAGTCAAACTTTGACCCGACTTGTAGAGTGCACATGGGCGACTCGGCGAGTCCATGCGGGTCCTCAGAATCCTTCTAGCCTCACTTGGCACGTCGAGTCATCCCTTCACTCGACGGGTTACACCTGTCACGAATCGCGGGCAACCCGACTCAACTCATCGAGTCACTTATGAACTCGGCGAGTAGCATCCATGGCAACACTCAAATGACCTTCTGAGGTTCAGATCCGTTTTCTCTAACATAGATCTGCCCTCCCCATTACAATATCATGTAAAGGTCCGACCTTTACACTCATGCAACCCACAAAGGGCTCTCTTTGGTGAAATCATCTCTAAAAAGGCAACCTAAGATCATTCCTTCCATGGAACAACATAAAGCAGGTTGGATAAGGCTCTTTGGACCTCTAAAGGTCCAGATCCATAGTCTAACACTCCAAAGGGACAATATACTCATCTTTCAGCCAATAAAAGGGTATAAAAACCTAAATTCAAGGATCTCATACTAAACAGAAGAAGGGATCGATTTACTACCCCAAAGTTGCAGATCCAAGCTGGAAACCCACATTTTAGCAATCCCCTTGACCTCTTCTTGCTGGAAACACCTTCTTCTTTGCAAATCACACTAATAATGATCAAAAGGCTCTCTCTCTTATACCACTCGTTTCAAGCTCTCTAGGGTTTCTCTCTCTGGACCGGTAGCCGCAATTGAGGGCTATAAGGACCCTTAAATAGGTTTCGCCCTCGAAACCCACATTTTAGCAATCCCCTTGACCCCACTTGAAATAGATTTCGCCCTCGAAATCGCTCCTCAACCACATAGATAGAAACCAACACTCGAAAAGCACCACTGAGAGGTTCTCACACCAAAACGATATCTTCCTCCATGAATACCTGGATCCGACCAGAAACTCCAAATTTGGAACAAAATCGGCCCGCCGCCAGACCGCCCACTCACGCTATCACCATGATATTCGCTCTTCGAACATCAAACCCTGATAACTCACTGCTCCCATGACTCTCACAAGGCAAAATCCGACAATCGGCTACCGATCACTCATACCAACGTTCCAAAACAGTCCGAATCACGCCCCAAGGAACGAAAGGGTTTACACCCCACCAGGGCTCATCACTGAACTACTATCAGAATCCATCCGAACAATAAACTTTCAACATCCTGTTCTCTGACACAAGAGGATCATGCTCGCTCAGAAGTCCTCAGACATCTAAAATCATAAGCCTCAGCTGCATCCCTCGTATCCCCTTTTAACACTGAGTACCAGGTCTGATCTCGACCCAACAGTTGAACCTCCAGGGTCATCTGTTGCATTATCCCAACCGTCTCCATGGATTCCTTCTTACTATAACCACATCGACCCAATGTGACACACAAGTAACGGAGTTGCTTAACCCTAAGCGAATGCTACTTTCCCAACTGGGGATCGACCAACCACCCCGACCTCCGTCATCTGTTACTCATCGTTCCATGCAACTTGCGGTACCTCCCGTACCCGAGTACTGACCCACACAGGTCTAAGACATCAAATGACAGACAATACTCCTCAACATGGAACTCACCTCCGAATCCATAATCTCATCTCGCCTATCCAACGCACCACCAGAGCCAAACTCAAACTCGAGAGTTTGGTCCGACCCAGAGTTGGAACCACTCGTCCCAACGAAGCACTCAACTCAGAACTCATTTCCCGCAACCCATGCGTAACTCACGTTCCATTCTTTTGGATTGCGATGACCACACCTTACTCAGAACATAATGACTCCCGATCATGTGAAGGACCCCGGTCTCGCCCCTGGTCCGACCACCATGTTCCCAAAAACTCATAAATAGGGTTCACCCCATGCCTAAAACTCTTAGGCGTCACGCTCCTGATCAAAGAGTACATTATCATGACAACTTCTCGCTAACTAGTGTGTACTACGTCTTCCCGTAGCATCACATCAACCTCTCACTGACTGGTGAGTACTACGGCTTCCCGCGGTATCACTACAACCTCTCACTGACTGGTGAGTACTACTACGGCTTCCGTAGCATCACAACAACCTCTGACTAGTGAGTACTACGGCTTACCGTGCATCACAACAACCTCTGACTAGTGAGTACTACGGCTTTCCCGTACATCATCACAAACTCTGACTAGTGAGTACTACTAACGGCTTCCCGTAGCATCACAACAACCTCTGACTAGTGAGTATTACGGCTTCCCGTAGCATCACAACTGATGGGTTTGAGCCATAAGAACTTTCCTATGTGCACATGCAAACCCTAATGCTTGGATCTAGGTTTCTCTAACTGAACATGCAATGTTTCCAAGCTTACAATGCTAGATCTAGAGATAATAATTGAAACATAACACATGAAATCAGATCTAGAAATACCTTAAGTTGCTTGCTTGAATCTTCTTGTTCTTGGAGCTTAGAGTCACAATTGTCACTCCTCTAATGGCTTACAAACACCAACTAGCAAGATGATTTGGAGAGAGAGGAGAGATGAGAAAATCGGCTCTAGTTTCCTTTTTAAAATAAGATGGCCGATTTCCCTCACCCATGGTCTATTTATACTATGAGCTACTAGGGTTACATCCTTAACCCTAA